TTCTTTAAATGCTGCTGTTCATTCACAACAAAATTGATCAATAAGGAAAAAACACAGCAAATTGATGAACAAAGAAGAAAAAAATTCGACAAGGGAGAGTTTTACCTGGGGATGTGCCCCACCACTCAAAATGGTTGCCCCTTCACTCTTGGCTGTTGAGATAAAGTTCATTATTTTGTTATACTGAAAAGTTCACAAATTTGAGGCATATGTTAGAATGACAGGACATGTCAGAGTCGAAAATTGATCATATCTTTCTCATCAGAAAGTATCAACAAAGTTTGAAAGAGGGGACAATACAGCAGTTAACCATGACCTCCACTCTACCAGAGGAATCATGACAAAACATTCATCAAATATTACAAAATCGGAAAATCAATATTCTTGTTTGGCATGATTTTCTCATTAACCTAACTGTATTACCAATTACAGAATGCCTATTTGTATTAAATTGTATGATTACCACCCAAATCCACGTATCAATATTAAAGAAAAGGAAGATATGTGATGATAATGACATACATGAAGGCTTAAGGACTTCACAAAGGCCAAACCAAATTTTTAAAAAGAATAATTTTTTAGGGTGGGGCATTCTACAATTGGCCAAGATACAAAGCTTTAATGTTGGGTTGTGGCTAAAATAGGATCTTTGGGGTTTTAAGAGCAAAAAGGCATATTTGATCTGATTGGTACAAAAAAAGGCAAAATTTTGAAATAAGAAGAAAATAGGCGTCCAACTCGATGTCTAATAGCCATCACACCTAGGATTCTTGGGCAGCAAATCAGAGAGAAAGATGCACCACACATCTCATATAGAATTCATAAAATATCCATCAATTCACCACCTAAAATAGAGACTACACCAATACAAATAGGGAGCTATGACCTTTTCTGGGAGAAAAAAGACCGAGAGATATTGGTCAAGACTTGGAGACCAAGTGCGTGATTGATGAGTTGGTGGCCAAGTTAAACTCCTAACTTGGGACCCCGGTACTTTGACCTCGAGACTTTAGCTTATTGTCTGACCCACTTATACAATGGATTTAACTTTGGACCCCAGCCAGTACTTTGACCTCAATACTTCGGTTGTCTGACCTCAAGAATTATAGGCCAAACATACAAAAATCATCAGGACAGACCACTACTACAACACGTTACCAGTATTATAAAAACAATCCTACATTGGAAGTTAATTATTATATATCCTAGCCTAATCTAACAACACTTCATTTATAATGCAAGAGAGACTCTTAACTTCAGATATCATTTCTGCTTCTTCGCCTTGGAATCACGTTGAACTAAACATCCCTATTATCTTGAAAAGAACCGTCTGCATCACAACCCTTTATATCAAAACTATTGGAAAGGATGGCTAAATCATACCTACAACTGGAATTCCTCTCCCGAAAACACAAAACAAAAAAAAATCTCCTCCCCCCCCAAAAAAAAAAAATGACACCTCTATCTGGCTCTACATACTGAAATTTCAGACTCGAGTAATCATCCTTATCAGAGGTCTTAAAAATTTAAATTGCTGTCATTTATCGATATCGATATGCTGAAATGCCTCAGTTGCAGAATTTGAGTGTTAAATTCATTCAAGAGCTTGACTAAAAAACTTTATCATCTTCAGCAATGATAAGATCTGCACCACATAATTAAGTCTGAGAACTTGGTTTCTTCAACTCCTCATTTTGGTATAGAATATGGAGCTGCCCTTTGCTTTTGAATAACCATGAAGAACAGTATGTTTAAGGATTCAAACCAGCTTTATTACCTGCCCGCCACTAACAACAGGGCCAAGCCTGCAACCTTCCTCTAAGGGGTCTGAAATTTTAATATTTTTGCACCATTTCACAAGCCTGTCCAAAAGTTCAGCAGCAATGCTCTCCTGAAACATAAGTGGGATGCACACCCATTAATATTGCAGAATCGGAACTAGAAATAATAATTACACCCAGATAAAAAGTGATGCAACACATTTTCTCTAGGTCGGTGGTGCAGTTTAAGATTGTTTTGCAACATGGAAGAATGCAGATTGGATAACTGGAATTCTTTACTTAGACAAGTGCCTAGTGTGGCAAAGCACAAGCATAAAATGAGACAGAGAGAGGAAGGGGGGAGAGTGAGAATTATTAGTATACGAATCTTCTAATTCATGGACTTTTAGTAGTTCCTACATGTCAGAGAAATGGAGAGAAATGGGACACCGTACCCCCAAAACATGTATGGGTGACATTTTGAATCAAGCTCATATACTTACATGCACTAAAAGACGAGATGTTGCACTGCAAATTTGACCATTCGTCCAAAAGCAACCAAAAAGAACCCACTCAGCAGCTGTTTGAGTCAAAGACAGAGGATAAGTAAATATTGAGATAAACCCAAAATATATTTGGATGTCCTATTAATGACCCAGTATGAACTACCAGATGTTGTACGTATACTTCATTTTTACGTTGTTGACTACGAAATCTTCATTCAGAATGTTGGTTCCGAGAAGAAATTACAATTACTCTTTGAAAGAGGATTACAATTACTCTTGAAAAGAGGGTAATGAACAAAAGTTCTATGTTGAGAAGGTACAAACCCTTATCAAGATCAAAATCCTCAAACACAACTATCGGACTTTTTCCACCAAGCTCAAGTGTCACTGGCTGCACAGGAAAAATAATGAGAATAGTATAAAAGACACAAAATACTAGCAAATTTTGCTGACAACCAATAAAAATTTCATGCCACCACATACTTTGAGGACTTGAGCTGCAGCAGTCATGATCTTGCTCCCTGTGGCAGAACTTCCAGTAAATGCAATCTGTTAAAAGCATGCAGCCTGTGTTACTAAATGGTAGCTATCCAGACCCAGTACATACCATGGTAATAATGAAAAGTAAGACAAGCTAACCTTGTCAACATGGGGATGAGATGCCAAAGGAGCACCAGCTTCAGGCCCCAATCCGGTCAAAATATTAAGGACACCTGGAGGAAGACCCACCTCTTTACACACTTCAGCCAACTCCAAACAGGTACTGAAATTGAATTTATATTAACATTAAGCATATAGAAAATGCCAAAAACACATTCAAAGAAAGTCAATTTTAATAATGACTTACACAGATGCCAATTCAGATGGTTTCAGAATTGCTGTACAACCAGCAGCCAGGGCAGGAGCAACTTTCCATGTAGCCATCAACATAGGGTAATTCCTTAACAAAATTACAAACAGTTTGTTTGTCAGTTACACAATGATATCTTTGTTCACAGTGATCCTAAAAGGGCACTAACCAAAAACTCCTAATTATCAACCATTACAATACTCTGCAACATGCAATCCACACAATAAAAATAACCACCATCACAACCTCCTAATTACTAGAGACCAAAACATGCAATATTATCTTGCATTTAAGGCTGCATCCACCGCTACAGGCTCAAGATTGACAGACGAACAATATTGTAACAATAATAAGAGTAATTCTATCAACAAACATATGGCATCTTGCATAAGAGCCACAGCTCCAAAATAAAAGGTGGTTCGTTGCCAGTTTGGAGATTAACAGGGTAGCCACCGTCATAATAAGCACATACACACTTCTTTAGAGAAACATCATCAGATTCCACATGCACACATTTCAAAAATACTCAAAATAAATGGACCTCAAACTGGGTGAACATCTGTGAGAGTGTAACGGGCAAAGTCGGCATTATTACATGATGTCGGTTGTTCTGAGGCGAGGGTCAGTTCATTTACACTAAGAACTTCAAAAAAGATTGGCTAGACTTGATCCGAGCCAAACTGAACTTACAAAGATTGTAGGTGTTATTGGATTTCATTGACCAACTAATGGAAAGAAGCAGCTCATACCATGGAGTAATCAACCCAACAACCCCAATGGGTTCCCTGAGAACACGACTTTTGAATGTCTCCGTCGGAAGAGAAATTGGGACATTTTGCTTTGAATCCAAAGCTTCAGCAAGATCTGCATTGTACTCAAAACATCCAGCTACATCATCCTGAATGGACATGAACAGGCATATAAGAGAATCGTACATGACACAGCAAAGGGAAAAAATACAAATCGGTAAGAATGCTACAAACATACTATATCCCAAGCTGCTTCCTCCAATGGTTTTTCCACAATCAATTGCTTCAAGTTTTGCGAGTACAGCTTTTCTCTCTGTTATCTACGCAAATAGAAGAAGAAAGAACTAAGACATCTTAAATACAGTGAATTATCTTACTAGGTCAATTATGTGAAGGAAAATAGTTTTCTAGTAGAAAGCTCTAATAAAACAGATGGGTCTATATCTCAGGTAAATCAATGGAAGTCATAATCCAATGTATGTAATCTTTAAATATACATTGTTACCACAAAGAAAGTTCAAACTAATATATTAAACAATTGAGTCTATATTCCACTAATCTGCCAAATGAGATATAATGACCTGTGGTATATCTTAGAAAAGTGAAAATAGAGGTACTCTCTCATGGAAGATGAATCCAGTTCAAAAAATAAAAGGTAATGCTCAGTGTCAAATTTTAACCAGGTTCACATGGTAACTACTAACAAGAAGCATCGTCTATTTTTTCTTTTGGCCCAGGGAAGTTTACTCAAGTAAGTGGGCAACTCTGTATCCGCTGTATGAGATCCCTGGCTTAGCAAGTCAGGTGAATATTGCAGCTAATAATGCATTGAGATGGGCTAATGGAATAGGATATTTCACTTTGGCAGAGGACTTTAAAAATGGAAATCTCTTTCTTTTTTTTGGAAGCATGGAAGGAAAAAACTGTGTTATTTCAAAAATTACTCTCCTATAAATTAGAGAACTACACCTTTACCACTTCCAACACAATGACATGGTCACAAAATGGGCTTCACTACCATGCAGCTACCACACAACACTACTACCACTACTACGTCCATGCAACACCTTTTCCTGCTACTACCGCACTCCCACCACCACTATACCATCGCTACTGCAACCATCACCACCTTTACATCAATATTGTCGCCACCACCTCCCATGCTATAGCAGCACAACTAACATCACCACCACAATTAGTCCTCACAATTTGTCAATATATAACCACCACCGCTGTGTTCATCATCAAAACTGCTGCGCTACCCCCCCCCCCCAAACACGGCGCGGGCAGCATTAACCAGACAATCGTCAATCCATCAACAACTTGCACAGTCATTGCCGTCATATCCTCCACAACACCACCATCAATCCATCATCTTGATATCATAAAGCTCTTTCAGCACCAATTTTCTTCCCCCAAATCTTAGTGTTTTCATTCTTACCTTCACTTTAAAACAAAAAACAATGAAAAAATTGTTGCCCGGATTTTGACCTTCTACTTTGAACACCGCTTGTCACTCACATACACATCAATTTCGGGTTGAATAGAAACACAATTGAATCACGATTACCTCTTGATACTAAGTCTAACTGATAAGTAGATATAATTTAGTCCAAAATCTTAAATGGTTGTGGCATCACAAAGATGCAAGCAACTCATGGTTCGATAGCTCTAATGCATAATTACAAGGATCACAAGGACTGTTCAACTTCAAAATGGTAGCAAATGAATAAAATTCAGAATGACGCATTACTAGATAATGAACAGAACTGATCCAGTAAAACTCAAACTTTCAACCCAAGCACTACTAATAGATTTCAGATACCCAAATCAAACATGTACCTTAGCAGCAATAGCACGTAAATACTTTGCGCGATATGCCCCAGTGGCTGATGACCAGTCTCGGCCTCCATTCCATGAAAAGGCTTTCTGAGCGGCTTCCACAGCAATTTCCACATCCTCAGCAGTAGCTGCCGGAATATCCCCTGAAAAAAATTGAAAAAATGGCATGTCAGTTTTGTGACAGTCAAAACCTAAAATTATTTTCTTAAGATAATTTAGGCAAGCATAGTAGTTTTAAACTTTGATTCTATGATTTTTAATTATTGAGAACACTTTTGAGTTTTGACTTATCAAATATACGCGTACACAAAAAATCAATACGACAATGTTGAATCTGAGACTTGTTGAGAAGAAACCACAAGGATTAAATATTTCACTAAGTTATGCCTAAATTTAATATTGTCACCTAGTTCTTCCGAAGTGTTCCTATTTATAAGTTAGAAACTAAAGCACGGGCGGATTTGTAGTGGGCGTAGTAGGAGCAGCTGCCCCCACTGCAATTTAAAAATATTTGGGACCTAGTTAGAATTTCAAATAATTTCAGAAGTATTTAAAACTTGCTCCAATTGAAGTCTATAAAACATTTGGGGTTAGTTTCATAATTTATACTTAGAAATTCATTTCAGACGGAATACTCTTTCTCTTCTTTCCCTCTCTTCCCTCTTCAGTCACTGACCAAACCAATCCTCTTTAGAGAATCACAGGCTGCACAATCTATTTATCTCTACCTTGTGCTTGTGTCTCTTTCTAATTGTGATTATCCACTCGCCAATTATCATGTAAAATCTGCAAGTGCTAGGAGCCCTAGAAGATTATATGGGAGTTATGGAGAGGTAACCCAAGAGCCATTAAAAGTTAATTTTTCAGAGATTTGGTCATTTGTTGAATCTTTTTACTTTTGAGAGGAAGATATTGTGGCCAATGAGAAAAACTTGCTTGTTTTCTTTCCATACCATTGTTGCTTGTTCATTGTCTGTTAAAATGCTGCAAACAAAAACCATGAGAAAATGAGCAAGTATGTTAGTAACCATAATTATATGGGAGCCCCAAAGACTTATGCATTGCCCATACACTCCAAATTTTAATTTTTCTTTTGTTTTCTAACAAGAAAGAAATTTCAAGGAAAACTGTGCGTGGTATTTCACTTCAAATTCCTTTTTTCCAAGTCAGTACAACTGCTCTTGAATCTAAGTGACATTTGCTATCATTGCGTTGAATTGAAAAAACATAGTTTCTGTCGTTGTACGTAAATTCTTTAGCTGATGGTAGCACTGTATTTTGTTGAATTTGAGATCATATTCTCAAACTAAGCCATCAACATTCTCAACATCGCATATTACACAGTTATTTACCAGACACATACTCGGATAGTTTCAAAGCAATACATTACATTGTTGCCTGTATTTTTTGGGCGCAATTTTATGAAAACATAACTTCGTTTGGCTTTGAAGCAATGCATCAGCTCCTCTTCTCCCATGGGAGAGAGTTTTTGGTGACAATTTAGAAATTTTAAGCCATTTAAGTTTAACAGTTTGTCTACTGTTAGCCATGCTTATAGAGCATTACTAGATACTAAATGGGGTGGATATAGATTGGGGCAGGTTTAATCTATCTCTAATATTACTGCTAGTAGTTTTATATTAGATAATTTAATGGGTTTGGGATGGATATTTTTGGGGTGTGAATAGCCTCATCCTATGGTGAAAATTCAAGGAAAAAGTATCGAACTTGAGCCTAATTAGGCCAATTAATGGATTGTAAGTTGCCCACGCTACGGAACAATCCTGGCTCCGCCCCCTGAACTAAAGCATCGTCAAAAAATATTATCAGAAATTTTCCTACATATGCTGCAGTTTACCCAGTTTTCTCAGACCAAATAAAGTGCTAAACAATACTTATGAACAAATTGAAATGACAATTACCGGAGAAATGATCTGCATAACTTATTAGCATATATATATATATATATATATATATATATACCGAGAGAGAGAGAGAGAGTAGAGTAAAATTACCAATGATCTGTTCGGTGGCGGGGTTGATGATGGGGATACGATTCTTCTTGACAGGTTCTCTCCATTCGCCATCGATGAATAGCTGACGAGATGGTATTGGGATCGCCATTAACTCAATCGCTAGGTTGACTGAACTCACTCACTTACTCTCTTACCGTGGACTGCTTCGATCTCGCCCGAGTGCGGCTACGTTTGTGTGGTTTGATCTTTGATTTAGGTGAGTTATGGTGGGCTCTTTTATACTGTATCAGTGGTGTTGATCCTTTCTTTTTGGGAATAGCATCATCCCCACTTTATCCTAAGTAGAAATAACCGCTATATTATGTGGGCATTCATGGGATAACGGTTTAATAATAAGTAAATAAATCAATAAATAAGTTTAATTACAATTCATAATTACTTAATCATGTGATACATAACTGTCTCTATAATAAAAAGGGAGCTCTATTTTACTATTTTTATTTTTTTTATTAGATAATTACACCATGTCAATAATATTTACTATTTCAAATATAATTTTTTTAAAATAGAATGCTTATTAAGTTTCTTCTCAAATTTTTTATCCTAAGTAATATGTCAAAATTTCCATTATTCAATATTAATGGGACGTTGTGATAAAAGAAAATATTAATAAAACCTATTTATTTGATGATGAAAATTATACCACATAATTTGGGATAAAAAATTTGATAAAAAACCTTTGTCACCATAGCATTGTTGTATTTGACAACTCCAATGAATTCTCTATTATCTATACTACTTTAAAATGTCTACATGCTTGAAAAATATTTATTTATTTTTTTTACCCCTAAACAATAGTATTATGACATTTTTATCATATATTAAAAGGTGATAAAAATATGTGATCTTCAATAATAACCTTTAAAAATACATAATGACAACATTAAAATAAATTTTTCATATTCTCCCTTCAATCACAATGCTAAGGAGAACTTTTGGACTTCTACATCAATAAATTGTCTTGCTGATTGGCTCTAATGTTCATATATCTATGTCTATATCTATCTATCTATATCAATAAATTAGTTATTGCATGTACTTGAAGGCATATAGTGGTAAAAAATGGTAAACAATAAACATATTTATATTCATATCCAAAATCAAATCATAAACATAAAAAAGAGATAAATGAATTTAAACATCGGTTATAATAAGGGTGAGAGGTGGTGGGCGGTAGTGATGGTGGTAGGAGACGGTGATAGTTGTGGTGGGTGGGAGTGGTGGTGGCGATGGCGGCTATGGCTGCGACAGTGCTAGTGGTGGCAACAGCGACGGTTGCGACAGTGCTGGTGGGTGGTGATGGTGGTGATGGCGGTAGGGGTGGTGGCAGTGGTGGTGGTTGAGGTAGTGGTGGTGGTACAAATAGTGGTAGAGCGGTTTCAAACATTATTTAAAAAAAATATTTATGAGAAATAATTTATAAAAATATTTTTAAAAAGTCACTCCAAACACATCATTAAGAGTCTATTTTTCCTATTAAATTTAGAGTGTTAATATTAACCGTTAGATTAACTGTAAAGTTAAATTTAAAGTGATCTCAATCGCGAATAGCAAAAGTTATTTTGTTTATCTTTTGAGATTTCAATTGTAAGTTATTTTATTATATAGATGTAAAAAAACTTTTAATTGACCACAAAAATATATTTTACACAGGAGAATACATAATTAGTTATTATTCTATTGGTATGCAACCAATGATTATTGATCACTACCGATCTACTTAAATTATTTAGGATTAATTATAAGTTACACCCTAAAAGATAGTTCGAATATTAATTTAGACCCCCAAAGATTAAAACTTTCAATTTGCACCCTCAAAAATATAAATTTGTATCGATGTGCACCCTCAAAGATAAAAAATTTTAATTTGTACTCTCAAAGATAAAAATTTGTATCAATCTATACCCCCAAATAAAAAAAATCTCAATTTGCACCTTCAAAAATAGAAATTTGTATCAATGTGCACCTAAAACTAAATTGATAAATTATACTTATATCCCTTCATGCTTGTCACTTAATCATTTGGACCCCCTTTACATTTAGAATATTACTCCTACATCTCGTGGCGTTTGTGCACGTGCAACACGTAATCCATTTTCGTTGATATATGTTAATATAACCGTTAAAAAATATGATTTTATCTTAATAAAAAAATTATAATTTTATATTACTTTTTTTTGTAGGTCCGATATACTCTAAAGTTCAAAATCAAGCTTACCATTTGAATGTCTAATATAAGCTTTGGATAGTAGTTATTTAATTCACTCAGTTGTTTGGTTAGAGAATTATTTCATCGTATTAATATTGAAATAGTCTCAATCGGTGTCTATTACATTGATGACAACTTGATTTTATCACTCGGGGGCTATAATAGTAAATGCGTAAAATAATAAGTTTGAGTTAGATTATAATATCATCCTTTTTGGTGGTATTAAAAGACCTTCATAATGCATGTCTATCGTAAAAAAAAAAATATACAATAAATATATAATTAATATACGTTTTTAAAATTAATACGGTATCAAATTTATTTATCAAACGAAGTATTAGACCCAATTAAATAAAAAATAATATAATCTAATATTTAATCATTTCTGAATACGCTAGTAAACGAGCTAATAGTGTTTGGTCTTAATTGTTGTAGTTTTCTTTTTGCAATTGTTTATATTAGACCTTTATGTATCACTAAGAGGGAAATTTTAACTCTGAATCTAACCCTTTCATGTATGAGTTGCTTTAAGACTCTTAATAACTACTATGTACAATTATTTTGGATTATCTTGACTTAGATTTTTATCCTCTTTTCAAGAGCATTATATTACTTAAATTGCTTTGAATATAAGATTTGTTTGTAAAACTTTAATTGTGCTCACAAGTAGGTTTAAAATGCATATAGTTCATTACCACTTATTTAATCAAATTTTAATAGTGACCAAGTCTTTACAATAATAGATAATATATAAATTCAAATGGTTTACGTGCAACGCACGTGTGTACCATTTAGTAATAGAAAAATACTCTTAATAGTCAATGACATTTAATAAATAATGTAGTATATGTATCACACCGCTCACCGGCATAAGGTAAGATTTTTATTTTTATTTTTTGACCAATTAAAATATATCGCGTTCATATTTTTTATTTTATAAATTATTATTATTTTTAATCAATAATTATAAATCATTCAGATCAACTTTGATGGCCGAGATTAATGGAGGCTTGGTATCGTAGCCATACACCCAACTTTTTTGGCCAATTTTGAATTTTTTTTTCCAAAATACCTTGATTTTAACATTTTTCTTGTATATATTGGAATTAATGTAGAAACAGAAAAAAAAAAATTTTAAAAGAGATGGTAAAAACAAATATAATAATTTATTATTATTATTTTATTATTATTTTAAACTATTTCATTATAATTACCTTATTCTTTTCACCACCATGGCAGTGACAACATAATGACAGTGGCGACAGTGGATTTGGTAGTATTAGTGGTGGGGTGGCGACGACAATGGTAGCAGTGGCATAATGATGATGGAGGTGGCGACAACAACACAATGGTAGTGGGAGTAATGGTGGTGGTGGCGACGATAACATAATGGTAGTGGGTGGTGGATAATGAAAAGTTAAGAATGTAAAATACATTGATAATATGTTTATCCATTTTGATAAATTTATAAAATTTTAACTAATTAACATTTTCAGCATTAAGTGATAAGTAAATGGTTTGTTATTTAAAATTTTAGCTTATTTTTAAGTGCTTAAAGTATTACGTAATATGAGTTTAATGTTACCAAACAAGTTTAATTCATTAAGTATTTAATTTTAAGCATAAGCCAATCATTTAAATATAAGAACCGAAGATAGCAAAGAAAAAAATACAAAGATATACATGGCTCAGCACGTCATACCTACATTCATGGACAAAAAGAGTGCATTGATATATTTATCACCTAGCCATTTGATTACTAATAATCACTTGAGCAATGTTTATGTGGATCAAATTGTTCCTTAAAATTTGTATCACAAATCAATACAGGTGGTTAGATTAGTATGATCCACTAACTCCACAAAATATATAATGTGTGAGATTTTGACACATCACTTGGGATTAGGAGTGTCCATGGGCCGGAATAGGCCCGTGAAATTTTTTTTAGGGCAGGGACTGAGTAGTGTAAATTTAAGCTCTTATCCAAGTGAGTTATCAGGCATGTCAGACTAGACTGCGAGTAGAGGTAGACTACCCGCAGCCTAACTCGCGAGCCTATTGAGTGGTCCTGTGGACAGGCTTGCTCGCGGATTTTTTTATATACGACTTTATTTAAAATAATAAATATTTTTCTAACTTAATATTTGTGTAAATTATATTTTTGAATTAAAAGTAGAGTCAAAATGAATAAAAATAAAATAATGAATAATTTTATTTTCGATTAAGGGATGAACTACATTCAATAGAATGAATACATTCCAACTAGGGTGACACCTATTCACTTATCTATCATTTTGTATTGCTCTACCTTTTAAAACTTGTACGCTTAATATATAGAAAATAAAATAATACATTATTTATAGTATTTAAATTTTTAAAACTTCAAATTCTAACATTATGAGACTTATTTTAAAATTTCAAATTTAATGATCTGAAAGTATATTTTTTTTTTAAATGAAGTGTGGGTGGGCTCTTGGGCGGGGTTTTAACGGGTTTTTTAAGGTGAGCTATTGGGCCGGGTTTCTGACCGAATAATAGTTTGGGGACAAACTCAAACCCTCTTTTTAAGGATATTGGATTCGGGTTCGAACATGCCAACTATCAGACCTATTGGATTTCATACCTATTTTTTTCGGACTGGATAACGATACATGTGGGCAACCTAGTCCATCGACACCCCTAATCAAGATATAAGATTTGATAAATAAATCTGAAGAGCACAATTTTATCTAGTTGCATGGGGTAAGGAACTGATAAGATTAACCATAACACAATGTCACTCATGACTATTCAAATAATCTCTTTGTATCCTATGAGGTTTTTAATGAAGTTATTAATGATTATGTTTCAATTTATTTTCTACTTAATATGGGGTTCGAACACTTTGAAATTGTTAAATCCCTTGTTGTTTATAAAAAAAAATTATGAATACATAAAAGTTGATGAATCATGGCAAATAAAATATCGGCATGATATTTTAAGAAAAAAAAAGAAGGGTAGAGTACAGTGGCGGAGCCATGCCCCAAATTCTTAAAATTATAATTTATATGTTAAATTATAATATTAATTTTAAGTTATAATATTAATTTTATTTTATTCTCTTTACTATTCATTAGATCACATTAATACAATTGTGACAATTTGGATAAATTATTAAATTTTGTTATTATAAAAATTTGTAAATTTAAGACTATTTTAAAATATTAATTGTGTAATTAATTTGACTTTTACGTATAATAATTCAACTACTTTTGATTAACTTTATTCATTTTATTGAAAATAATAATTATACTATACCGTGTGAGATTGATTCTTATATCTATATAATAAAGTAACTTATAATTCAAATCTCAAAAGATAAACTAAATGACTTTTGTTATTCACAATTGAGATCACTTTAAATTTTACTTTAAAGTTAATCTAACGGTTAATATTAACACTCTAAATGTAATAAGAAAAATAGGCTCCTAACGGTGTATTTAGAGTGACTTTTTAAAATTACTTTTAAAAATTATTTTTCATAAATATTTTTTTAAAAAGTAGTGTTTGAAACAACTTCATCATTACCTCTACCACCTCTACCACCGCCACCACCATCGTTGTCGTTGCCACCACCGCCACCGCCACCGCCACCACCACCGTTGTCGCTGTCACCACCACCACCATTGTCGCTATCACCACCGTCACCACGGTCATTGCCACCCACCACAACCATCACCGTCTCCTACTACCACCACTGTCACCCACCACGTCTTAGTACTACTACAAATTGATGCTTAAATTTCTTTATCTTTTCTCTATGTTTGTGAATTGATTTTGGATATGAATATAAATATGTTTATTGTTTACAATTTTTTATTATTATGTGCCTTCAGGCACAGACAATTACTAGTCTATATAATAAAGTAGCTTACAATTTAAATCTCAAAAGATAAACAAAATGACTTTTGCTATTCGCGGTTGAGATCAATTTAAATTTTACTTTAAATTTAATCTAACGGCTAATATTAACACCCTAAATTTAATAAGAAAAATAGACTCCTAAGGGTGTGTTTGAAGTGACTTTTTAAAAGCACTTTTATAAATTATTTTTCATAAATACTTTAAAAAAAATAGTGTTTGAAATCATCCCACCACTACCTCTACCACCATTACTGTCGTCGCCGCCACCACCACCACCGTCGCCGTCGCTGCCACCGTCATCGCCACCACCACTATCGCCATCACCGTCGCGGCCACCACCACCACCACCATCGCTACCACCACCAATACCACCGCCACCACAGTTATTGTCGCTCACCACAACTATCACCGTCTCCTACCATCATCACTGTCATCCATCAGCTCTCTCCTCCACTACAACCGATGCTTAAATTCATTTATCTTTCCTCTATATTTTGTGATTTGATTTTAGATATTAATACAAATATATTTATTGTTTACTATTTTTTATTATTTTGTGCCTTCAAGCACAGACAATAACTAGTATACATATAAATGTCATATGAATGATCTACATTAAATAAAAAATTTTTATTATACCATTATTTGGCCTCCTCGAGAGAAAATCCTGACTCTGCCCGGAAATGGTAGACATGCAAAAGCTAGCAATCACAAAGCTTACTCATGATACATTAAACACCATATTGCACTCAAATCTAATCAAATATTTAGGGGATAAAATTGTGTTGCATAAATTTATTTATTGACTATTGTATCTGAAATGATGTGTCAAAAGAATAAATCTGTGCTGCACAAATTGTTGCCCAAATATTGTATTCTAAATGATATGTCAAAATCTAATGCATTCAATATTCGGAGGAGTTAGTGAACCTCGTTAATCCAATCACCTGCATTGATTTGAGATACAAAATTTGGATAAATATTTGTGCAGCATAGCATTGCTCGTGTCAAAATCCAATACATTGAATATTTAGTGGACCCCACTGATCCATCTATACCTACACTGATTTAGAATATAAAAATTTAATAAGTAATTTGATCAACAGAGCATTGCTCATATTTAGGAAGCAAATGGCAATTAAACATTCTTATGTCTTCTGTTTTTCTTATGCCTGTGGGGTATGATTAACATTTGTGCATCAAAACTAGTAACTAGTATCTGTTTGCAGTTTTTCTTGAAACCTATTGACATCTTTTAAATAATCTCAGTCCAATTACTTAACCGAAAGACAGATATTTAATTGGCTTGTAATACAGATATCGGACAAGTTTCAACACTTTCTAAATCCCAAGAGAAAGTACCCAATTAAATCTGGATACTAGCTATATGTTTCTTGGAAGAAGCTGAGACCTCAAATGTAGAATCAAGAGAAGCTTTTGCTAGAGTATTTTAATAACAGCACTTTTATTAGAGAAACGTCGCCTAAATTTTTAAAAATATTTTATATGTATGCTAGTACTATTTATCCATTGAGACAAGTGAGACCTTAAAACTCTCGACCAGAATATAATAGTCATATATATATATATATATTTTTTTTGGAATAGTTAAATAAACTTTCATGTGTATTATATTCTTTCTTATTGTATTAATAGGTTAATTAGACTGTTGTATCTTGTAGACAACGCACAACTATTTTTTGTATTGTGTTTCTTTTATAAAATTGGACTGTTATATCTTGTAGATAACGCGGTGCTACTTTTTACATTGTGTTTCTTTTATAAAAAGGCGCAAATTGTGTTAAGAGAACAATCTACTTCACGTTTCACTATGCTGTTCATTTTATTTTTCTAATTCATTTTTCCAACAGCTTTAAACTCAATTTTTGAAAGTCCCATATTTTAAATTTTATAAAACAAGCCTTAGTTGACCCGAGATGCGCATAGTAGTTACGAGTCTAAAAATCACGTGGTTAGAACATAAATAAGTTGATCTAATGAAGAAGTGTAGTAAATTGAAAAAAAAAATTAGGATACTAGGAAAACAGAATCATGATATCACAAAAATCTTTCTAGTTAATTCATGGTACATAAAAATAAATGAATCAAAAAATGTATACAACAGAAAAAGAAGATCAACAAAGCCTGTCCCACGGGAGATGTACACAAAGCGGTCTGTGTGATATGCTTGTGTGTGTATTCAGTGCTTCTGGGTGGTCTTCTGGTACTTGTGTTTGATCCACTGAATGCCCATGGAGGTTCCTTCTTTGATCTTCTTCGCTCCAGTTGAAGCCACATCTTTGGTCTTCCCAAGCCCCTCTCCAACTTTCTTCCCATATTTGGCAGTCACACCACCACCACCAGAACTGCTCTTCTTGGTCTCGTAGACTGGGTCTGGACCGTTGTCCCATTGATCAGCCCATGATGTATACGAGTTGTTTCCTTCCATTAATTTCAACACAAACAAAGGAGAGATAGAGAACGAGAAAGATATGAAGGTGAGAGAGTGGGAGGGATTGGTTTGGGAATTGGAAGCTCTCTACCTATCTTCTTATAGACAAGCTTTTTCCGTGTGGCGATGACCAAAATCTTGGCTCTCTGGAAAAACATCACGCGTGGACGCGGACGGTGATATTTGATGTCAACAATCCTCTCGAAAGGCCAAAACACCCTTCCTTTCTTCTTTTTTTAGTCATTAAAATATGTATTTTTTTGTCAGTTTAATTTTTAAAATATAATTTTTTTTAATTTAGTATCTAAAATATTCAATTTATTTTAAAATGATCCCTAAATAGACAGACTATTAAATTTTTAACTGAATGATCATTTGTTGGGCATCATAATACTGTCTAAAAAAGTGATATGTGATTAATTCTATCAAAAAAACTTAACAAATTATCTAATTAGAGACCAAATTAAAAAATTAATACTTTAATGATCAAACTAACAAAAAAATGTATATTTTATAGATAAAAAATATTATTAACTTTTTTTTTCTATGTGACAAGGAACTTTTTCAAAAAAGGATCAAACCTAATATGGTTATGAGTTCAATTAGAGGGGGGGATTTTCAATGGCCGTCAGTCAGGGGCACACTTTGAACTGACTATAACTTTATCAAGTGAGATTATGATTCAATCACTTGATATTACAACAGAATAGGATCGTGTAAAATCGGTGCTCAAATCATAGAGTTGATACTGATATTTTGATATTTATCCTAATTATTTGGAAATAGCAGTAAACTCAATTGAGTCATGACTAATCTTTTACGTCGTTACTTAACTCTAAATAAAATTATAATTAACATTCATTAAATCATAACTTGTCATGTAATTTCAAACTTTGTACCATAATAATCATTCAAAATTTGCAAATCATGTTTTATGAATTTGCCAACTCTAATTTCGAGTCACTGAGTTTCCAAAAAGGGATAAAAAAAAAAGAAAAAAGAAAAAAGAAGAAGAATTGTTCTTTTCAATAGCAAGGGCAGTAGTGTAAATTCACATAAGCATGTAATGCAATCGTCAGGAAAGAACCGCCAACGCGCACGCCTCCCATGCTTGTATAAGGTGAAGGTGGAAGGAAAGAAACTTCGCCCTTGCCGTCATTACTGACGACGAAACTCTGCCGGTGCCTTCTGGACAGATTGATTCATTCTTAACTAGGTTTTGTTATGTAGGTGTTAGCCTAATTTGACCACAATTCGCAAACCGTTACGTAGGCTTTCTTGCGTGTTTTGGTAATCACATTTATCTATTGTTTGTATAATGGTACGAGCAACCATGTTTAAAAGTTATTACGTGCACACTTTTTTAAAATGTATAAGCATAGTGAAAAATAAAATAAGAGAAATAAATGTTCTTTTAAATTTAGGTTTGTTTTCATCTAAATTTGAGTTTTTCTTTTTATAAATTTGAATTTCTCTATTAGAGAAATCTATATCAAATTAAATTTTTTATTTTTTATTTTTACTCAAATTTGAATAAGAGTTTGAGTTTTTAGTAAAGATGGTCTAACATGATCAAACTAGAGTCGAATTTGAATTCAGATGTGAACTTATAAGAATGATTATCTCTTTAGAGTGCAATTTAAAAAAATATTAAAAAGTTTGAAAAATATTAAATGTAACGATGACACTTATGTCACCATTGAATACCAAACTAACATGTATGCAAGTAGACTCCATTTAATTTAAAAATTATCTTGTACATGTAAAAAAATAGCTACCAATTGGAGTTTATCTTATTCATTTATAGATTTATCATTAAATAGTGACACTATGAGACAATTGTGACATACTATCACCGTTAAACCCAACATTTACTTGATGTGTAGAGGGAGGGGTAGCAAAATCCTTGTAAATATGAGAATTTTCATAAAAAAACATGCCACTACTTGTTAGGAGTAATCCTATTGAGGTCTAAAAATCTTAACTGATATCTTATCTTAATAATGTGGCAATTCATTTGGTCCCACTAAGATTGTTTAATAATAGTATTTTTTATTATGAAATTATTGGAACTTGTTAATTATCAAGATCCAGCTAATCCCAAGGTAGTTTAAGTAACAGTAGAAACGAGTTATAAACTCAAAAATCTTGAATTTGAATCTCGGCAAATTTTTAGAACCGACTCATGAGATGTTTATCTTTTATGAATACCCTAATCCCAACATGAATGATTTACCTTTAACTAGGCCGAAGAAGGGATTTGTCAAGATGTGTACAAGCTGACCCGGACACTCATGACCATTAAAACAAAAAAAAAATAATAATAATTATCAAGGGAGTGAAATTCCAACAGCAATTACTCATTTGCTAATGTGAATGAAATTCTTGCTTTTTCCTCATAACCTGTAGCAATCTTTAAACTAGCTTGGCATATGAAACTCCTCAAATGAAATTATTGTTCAAGCCATCTTTTTAAGTCTGTCTGTAACATGGGGCTCAATAAGGTCTCGTTGATGCCATGCCTGGGAAATTATATTTTATCCCCCATTAATATTTCAATAAATTATAGATTTACCTCCTAAGTAATTACTAATACAATTATACCAGTATTCCCGGAGGGATTGCTACATAATCTTCCAAAAAATATTCAATACAATGGTCTTACACGTCACCAATGTCACTATCCATTAAAAATACAATAAAATGGATAAATTAGACCCCACTTTTTTACATGGGTTGGCAGCCAAATAACGTGGAGACGTAGGCACTACAATATGTGGGATTGACTTTTTGACTTGTTATGAATAAGAATACCACGTGACGCGACGACGATTACATGGTACAACTCCTAGGAATCCCCCCCCAAAAAAAAAGGTGAAAAACTTCACACAACTCTGTAGAAGTCATTGCTAACTCGGCACTGGGCTGTTAATCCAAACGGTATGTAGGTCAACTAGAAAGCCCAAACCCATCAAGTGGTAGTGAGGTAAACTTAACAGCCCAATGAATAGAGCAATATAATTGGTTTTTGTTCCAATTAAGGGTTAGGAAGAAAGCCCAACAGGCAAGATCGCAGCATAGTGATTAAAAAGTTTTTAAAAATTTCAAAAAATATGTCACATTTTAAATATAAATTGAAAAAAAATGAACATCTTAATACCCGACACATTCTTCATTATCATTGTCTTTTAGGCTTTCTGAAAAAAAAAAAAATTATATACACATTCTCAATTAACCACCCCCTCGCAGGCCGGGACAATATCAGATATTTTTTTACTAAATTAAAGCGCTATAATTAATAAAAAGGAAGCATAATAATGGCAACCTAGGTAACGATCCCATTAGGGGAAGGTGGCCACTTGTTTTTTTTTTTTTTTTTGGGGTTCATACTTCATTAACAAAAAGCTCTCATAGACAGTAGGGTCCGCAGATGCAAAAACAAAGAGCAATTCGAAATTCAATAACCATACTACTACATTCAAATAATAGTGGTGCTTTAGATTTATTCCGAGCCCCTTTATTCTACATTATTTATTTTAATTTTTACTTTTCCACAATTAGTTAATCATCTCAAACAACATTCTCTCTCTCGCTCTAAAATGATCCTTGAGAACTCATTAGGCAGCTTGAGTGGAAAGGCCTCAAGGACAACTATTTGGGAGATCCGAAGTTCGAATTTCACAAGGGAGACTCGAATAAACCATTGTACATATGGTTGTACGCATCTGTTTGTTGTTGGATAATTATAATTTTCTTAAGTTAAGTTAATATTATCTTATCCGACAAATTATATTGGATCCATGAATCGAAAAGATAGGTGACAACTATAGGATACCCTATCCTAGTGCATGAATTATAATGCTTTCTGATTCAATAGCTGTTGTCCTGGTCATTGGGTCCTTCAGACAACAGTTGGGACAAGGGCCATACATAATGCCTCGTTTGTTTTGTTTCTTCATTAGGAATATTGAAGTGCTTGGAAGACCCCATTTTTTCATCATGCATGCATGGAAATACTCTTTAAGGTGGGTGTAGGCAGAGTTTGATTGATTTTGGCACCATTCTTTTGTTTGATCAATCATAAATTAACGCGTGTAAAGTTTTGTTCTTTCACCGTTCAATTTTATTTCATTAGGTTAGCGATCAATGATTACAAGTAAATCAAAATAAAGTCTGCGATCGAAAATCATTTTCCAATATAAACACGTCAGTAAAAACTTGCAATATACGGACGACTCAGCAAAAGACTCGAGTTTTATAGAGTGACCAGAAAGCTCATCGATCCATTCCACCCATGTCAACAACCCGTGGTTAGTCCATGGGTAGTACCATGGACTATGGTTTTTGTAAAACCCGAAAAAAAAAATTATTATTATTATTAAAAATCATAATTAAAGGGGTAAAATAATAATTAATTGTTAAATTACGGGTCAAAAACATAAATTTAAAAAAAAAATCTATATAATAAAACAGAAGTGTGTTTCAATTTTATCCCAATCATATTTTTCTCCTCAAAACTATCACCAATCACTTACCTCACCCATCATCTTTTTGTTAGATTCAAACGTCAAATCACATCACTCATTTCTATCACATATTTAATCATTTATATATTTTTTTCCTAAAAATATCACACCACTCATTTTTATCATATATTTAATCATTTATTATTTAATTAATTTATAGTTAATTTATTTTAAAAAAATTTAATATAGTGGAATTTATTTTTTGGATGTTCAAATTTTATATTTTATCGTGTTTTCAGACGCGAGTTATAACTAGTAAATTTATATGGAAGACAAAGTCTTCCATTTTTGGTTTTGTTGGAGAAACGGCGAGACAGAGAGTTAGAGAGAGAAAAGTGAGTGTTTTGTTTTTTTTTTTTCTCTTTTCTTTTTTCTCAGATCTACGAAGATTGGACCGTTTGATCGTTTCGGGCCAAGAACTAAAGTTGCTCTACTTAGCGAGAGCTACGCAACCACACCAAATATCGTATTTTTCTCCAAAAGAATATCAAAGCCAATAATCTAGGCCTAAAATTTAGGAAGCTAAATTTGGGCTTCCTTAGCGTTCTAGTAAGTGGTCTTACGCTACGAGAGGTTGGGTTTTTCCTATTTAGATTTAATTTTAACTTAAAATATGACATATGGAATGGGTA